AAGATTCAGCGTGCACTTTATACTCTCGTTTGCATGTGCTATTTTATAGCGTCAATTGAAACAATCATTTTTCCTATAGAGAAAGATAAAGCAGAGCATTAGGTGATAATTTCCATTGAGACGTTTCCGGCTGTCGAGAACGATTCATCATCAGCACATCAGCACTACCTACTCTCGACTGTTATACGATAGCAATTCACCAATTCGCTGTGACAGTTTTCCGAAAAACTCAGCACACACACACATCACAATTTCACAGACTAAAATACTGAATACCGATGAGATGCTGAAGATTAGCTGGCCAATTCAGGATGTGTTTATGTGTATCATAAATCGAATCTGCACGGGTTGAAGAGAGGATTTTTTGATGGAGATTTCGATTTCAGTGCGTGCCACTTGCTGGATTTGGTCATTTGGTAGTGAATATTTGTACTTAGAAGTAGTAATTTTATTCAGGTGGAATGTTTCACAAAATTCGATCGTTTGGGTGCGGAAGCCTTGAGTGGATGCGTGGCTTTGGGTGTTCCGTTACCGACTCAACTCAACAGTATAATGCTGCGTTTGGGCAACAGTCTACCAACTACGTCAACAAAACTTGACTTTAGTGATTTTCCATTCTGTCAGTAGTTTTGTGGAATACGATGAAATGAGTCTGATCTTAGATCAATCAATCAATCGATCANTCAATCAATCAATCAATCAGATCACGCCATATCATCTATCATATCGTATCGCATCATGATTTTATCATATCACTCAGATAACCAACAAAATTTTATTTCTTTCGGTTGCTTATCATCCTTTGTGATAAGATCATTTTCGGATATCAGCTCTTTTCTGATTATTTCTGTGTTTACTTGTATGTGTTTACTTGTTCATTACTTACAGTTTCCTATATTTGTTTATTTATGCCTAGGTTATCATTAGTACTGACGTGGATGATTTCACAATTCCATTGAAGAATCACAACTTCAGTGAACAGTTTTCGGGTATTTTTTCAATAAGGCTGCTGTCAGAGGGGCGAAAAATGCACTTGGAATCTATCTGCAATATGTCTTAGAACGGTGTTCGCTTTTTCAGGTAGGAGGGAGCTTACTGAGGTCATTTTAGACGAGAAAATATATCGGTTCCAATGATCATCACTGAATCGGTGCTGTCCGTTATAAAATGATTTGAATGTTGCCGATTCGCAAGCAAAAATTCCTCTAAAATTCGTGATTTTCTGTGATCATTTAGTGCAAAGCAATATGCTTAGATACTTGTAACTTAAATAGGTGATAATGGAAATGTATTTTCTGTGGTTGTCATCGAACAAACATCCGAGATGTTGAAAAGTTGTGTGACCAAATAATCTGTTTTTATTTCGGTTACTTTTTGATTGTTCGTTCGTTTAATTTCATCGAGAATATATGTGTGTGTGAAAGTGTTTTGTCGTGTGTATAATTTATTTGAATCGCTTACGGTTTGCACAGACCGACTTGAACTTCATGTGTTGGCTTTAATCACGTTTGTTCTCGACTAGATTGTGATTTCTGCACGGATCATTGAATAAATTTCATCAATTCACAAATCCTTCATTGTGCGATAGAAGCGCTCAACGAACCCAAGCATTGATAAGCGACTGTTCAAGCAAGCCACTCCATCAGCATGGAAATCACTAACAATCAGGTTTCCACAGAGTCGCAGCTATCGCTGAAGGGATTTGGTAATCTGTTAACAGAGAAACGCGGAAAAATATCCCTACTTCTCGTCATTACCCGAATCAAAACAAAAATACTCTCGCCTTACGATTAGCATATTCTTTTCTGACGCAACGAGTCTGACAACTTAGGCGAGAAAATATATCGGTTCCAATGATCATAACTGAATTTGACCAGAAAATTTTACATCTTGAATCATCTGTGAATTCAAAACTTCGCATCAAATGGTTTACGGTGTTTTGAGTTCTATCAGAGAAAATTCTGAGAAAACTTTCTTTCCAAACGTTTTTCAACTTTAAAAAAGTTACGTTAAGGGAGTCAGGGGAATTTGGTTCCATGTGGGGTGGGGGGGGGCGTTCAATGCTGTGTATCGCTTCGAAAATCATAAATTCGTGCGTCATTCATGCATTCTTTATTCTAAGAGGCTGCATGCTAAAGTTTCGATCTGATGGTTTCGATATTTCATAGCTACGACCAGTACTGATCTGGGATTAAGACGAGAACTGTTCTTGGATCATATCTTTCACCGATTCAACATTGCTCACTCGATATGATCTTGAAACGAAAACCGAAAATATTTCACGCTGCCCACACTCAAAATCACCTAAACTACTGTACAAAAGGAAAGGTTCATGTTCAAACCCAACAAACGCAGGCAGTTCAATGATAGAATTTTAAGAATGT